ATGTAAATATCATGTGACGGATGTGAAAGTCCCGGAAAAAAATTACCCTTGCAGGACCAAATCGACAGACGAGAGAAATATCCGGTCGACCTGGCCGAGAGGATTCCGAAGATGAAGCACAAGACCAGGCCAATGATCAAGCTGTTGATCAACGAGAACAAACTAGTAAGTATTTCATTCCCGAGCTATTCACTAGACATTATTTTCTTTGATTGCTAACTAACGCTATTAATCGCTTCCTTCACTTGTTGCTGCACAGGATCGGGTGACCATACAACTGGTTAGAGAGCGTGTTGATGGACCGGATGCAGATGATGAGGCAGAGGCTGCGAGTGCACGACCGAACAGTCGGCGTGCTCAAGGTGGAGCAAGAAGTGAGTGTGGTCGAAGCTGTGGTGAAGCTAGTTTCTGTATCAGTTTGACGCTTCCGGATGTTCCACAATCTGTCCTTTCTGTTTACGTGTGTTTTTGTTCCAGAGCAACGTGATCCAGAGGAAAGGGCAGAAGACGATGATCGTGAGGCACGGGCAGACCGAAACGAGCCAGACAGAGATGCACGCAGAGAAACAAGAAGGCAACAACGGGCCCAATTAGATCGAGATCGAGGTGATGTCCGAAGGCGCCCACGTTATGATTTGAGTATAACATGGAGAACTCAAATGACAAATAAATGAAATAATTCCATTTGCATTCAAACCCGTATTTTTGAGTAATTTTATTCCTGGTCATTGTTTCCTCATTAGAGGAGCTGAAGATTTTTAAATGTAATTGCTTGTCATTCTTCTGTGATATGTTGATGAATTGAAATGACCCGCAAGTCAACAGTCACTTGCTTCATATTTGTGCGTGGATTTTGTCTACAAACAGGACTTGTGGATTTCCATACCACCGTGTTATTCGAACATGCCCATAGGCAACTTTAAGAATTCGGTTTTCCATTCCGGATCAAATCTTGTTGAGTGAAAATAGTGTCGGTGTTAAACGAGCCGGAGTGCAGAGGCAAATATGTTCATACCAATGGTTCGAAATAGCCGTGGTTCCTCGACAATCCTGAGTTTGCTATAACCGATCAGATTATTTGGCAAGCTCATTTGATTTTGAATTTAGAGTTATTCTATCACATCGCACAATACGTTCGCTCTACGTTGATCATTGCTCAAGTCATTGGAATCATTTTAGAATCGGATTCTGGTGACTAATATGTTATAATCTGTGGGATGTTTGAACTTCCGTTGACAAATTAGGCCATCTTGTGGACAGTGCTATGGACGAAGTGTAATCCATTTGCATGGAGTTAACCACAAGAGTTCAGCTGTACTGTGATGATTCATCTCAACTGATGTTAAATGCAGCGATTCACGTGAATTGCTTTGATTTTATAATATTATTAATAACAATTGTTTCTTCGTGATTTGTGTTGTTTATAACAAAGTTACTTATTCATGAATTCGACGTTTGGTGGCAACCAAAGTAAGATCATCGAAATTCATTGATCAACTCGTCTTCTTCGTTTTAGTTTCGTGAAGCAGCCATTCGTGAAAGTTTATTGATACATTGATAAATGAGACTAAGAAGCGTTCGACACGGTTACTTGCATAGACCTTGCAAAATGAAGCATTGAGTTTTCTCTGTGTTACAATCTGCGCACGTTCAGCACAGAATAGCTTTTTTAAGTACGTTTTCAGAGGTGAGGGCACATTTTTCTCAAGTTGATCTCTATACTTCTCCAAAGGCATTTGGAAATGGATACACTCATCCCTTCCAAATGATCGATAATGGCAACAGATATCCGACCTTTGCGAACCCCTGTAACAAACTTGTCAGTTTACCAACAAAATGTGATTGGTAACTCAGCTTTTCGTGCGAAATAGTATCAGATGCATTTTGTATAAATTGATTCGCTGTGATAATAAGTTCATGCGGTTCAATAGAATCAAGAACAGTCATTCCGGTTTGGGTTGAAATGATTGTTCATTTGGCATTGTTCAATTTTCTTTTGATCGCTCAGGCTCGAATCGTACCGGAAAATGTTTTGTCTATAGTTTGCACCAATAAGTCTCTCATTGATTGCGACTGCGGTAAGTCTTTACGCGAAACTTCATTGGCTAATTCATAAGTTCATTCATTAGTCGGGTTTTATCAATTTTTCATTTGTTTGTTGTCTCTACATTTTAGGGTATGGGAAACAGGTGAGCGTGAAAAATCCTCGTCTAGCGTGTGCAACGTGCAATGGATGTTGGCCATATTACAGATATTGTATGGAGCTTGGAAACCACAAAAAAATGGTTACACCATGTCGACGCTTTAATAGGAGAAATTGAGCAACTGAGATTATTGCGAGATGCTTTGCTTTCAATGCATATTGAGCAACCCAGAATGGTTTGTATTTTTGCAAAATTTGCGAATACCGACAACAAGTTTGTATGCAGAAAAAGGATTGTTAATCCGTTTCAGTGAAGCGGTATGCATTTTCATCCATCGAGGTTACTGTAATAAACACGAGTGAAATCCACCTAGGAAACCATTTTTGCAAGTCACTGGTAACAGTCCGCCACTGAAATGAAACCCTTAGTTCAGATTTAAGAACAATTTTATAGAGCAAGGCTATCGACCGATAAATCAAAACCTGCACCTGACATTTATCTCACAAATGTCCGCTTTTTGTGGTAACCTCAACAAACATGCCGCAGCTTTACTCAAGTGACTGTAATGGAAGCGGACTTGGGTTTATCTAAGATATGCTATTCAGAAGTGTTTCACTGAATCCATTGTTCATGCTAGTGGGAGTCTATATCGTTGTGTTTTAATCAAGGTGAACAAAAGAAATATCTTATTATTCTGCAACGGATTCTTTTCATTGCAGATATTGAGACTCCTATTGAATGCCTACATCCACAAAAGCGTATTCTGAAGGTGGTCGCTGGAATTTGGTTGTCGTTTAAATAAAATTGCCATTTGTATTGACAATAAACTTTGAGTTAGTATCACATTGACTAAAGTACCATTAACCCAAACACTGTGCCACTAGTTTGAGAAAAATTCAGCATCGGACAGCGGTGCACCTAAAAGATTAGTATCATTATAAGATGAGTTCGACGAAGAGTGGATGAAAAATTCCAATTCTCATTTCATTCTCTATACAATACGATCGTTTCATTCTGAAAAAATTCATAATAAACCCGGTTTCTTGAAACAGGATGCTAGGTTTACGACGGAATCATATATAGTACACCGGAAATATCTGCTACTTCACTTACTGAGGCCATTTCGGGGAATCCTTAGGCGCATTTAGGCAACAAATAATACGCACTGGAAAATGACGTCTTTACTAATGCCTTATGCCAGGGACTTCTTCCCAAGCTTTGCGTTATCGATTTTATTTACGCTTGTAGTAGAAAATGTCACCGTGGTGCATAAGATGGAATAATAGACCGTGAAAAAGTTCAATATCTCTATCTTAACTTTGTGATTCAAAAAATTAAAGTTGGAATTCACTTAGTTTTCAATGCTTTTTAATGATATTCGGAAGACGAACTACGAATTCGAGAATAAATGCAAAGAAACATATTATCCAGTTTGGACATTGAGATGACCCTGCTACATTGTAGCGAAATACATAGTAAATTGAAAAACACCGTTATCTTTCTCCGACAATGCGAATGTATCCTCTTAAGTATCGGTTTGATATTTTATATAGAGCGGATTGCAAAGTAGAGGCTTAACAGCAGTTTCCTTGTCTCATCAGAAGCAGTGAGCATTCCTTTCATTTTTCATTGATTTGTACTTTTTTCTGCAAAAGGAAACACTTTTCCGTGTCATACTCGGGATTTGCACCCAAACCAAGCTCCAAAGTAGGACAATTATTTGGTACCCTCCCCAAAACAAGGCTGGTGATATTTGTGATCTCGCATTTATCAGTAAATTGACCCTATACGACAAGAAAAAACAAACCGCCTGTAAATAATTTCCACATTGGAATCGTGTCTGAAATGAAAGTACGATAGTAGTTGGATTCTCGTTCGTTGGACGCTGAAAGTGTTCGACAGACTTTGTTACTTTGCTCAAACGAAGTTCAGCAAATGGCATTTGATTCCAATGCTCAAACTCTTCCTTTCCAAACTGACAGAGCGCAGCCTTTTAGTAGAACTTTTGAAATGGTATAAATAAATACACGTTGGGCTTTCCGACGCTTATTTGATTTTGATATTGGAAGAGAATTTGCGAGAAATTTAAATTCGTTTACAATTCCAAAGAAAGATTGCGCAATTTGTTGCCCGTGAATCTGATTATCGGAGATGTGGACAGCCGAATTATCAAGATTTTGCCATCTTTCATTTCTCTCTTCCTGAATATATAAAACTTCTGAAGGAGTTCTGCTGTAGTCCGTTCCCTGTTCGGAAAGTGACCTCTCCTGAAAGTTTCTTTCAATGAACCGTTTCTAATGTTTTTCGGTTCTTCATTTAGCATAATGTCCGAGCAGATCTGACGTGCTCGTGATCTGAGACAACAATACAGATTTCTGTTCTTTTTTAAGTGGGACGAAACCTCAAATGTTTTAATTTGTCCCGTACCAATTAGTTTTCCATGTATTCAACACTCCAAGCAGCCATAATCTCTTCGGGTGAATGCCACATCTAAGAAGGCCATGTGTAATTTTCCACTGTTTTCAGTGTGAACCGAATAGATTCGTGAGCTTTTTGAATATATGTATCGCAGGGATAGTGTTCCTACCTTTTTGTGTAAGACACAAAACGGCCTTCACGTAGGTGCAAAGCATACTCATTTGCTCTATCTCTTGTTGTACCGTTGTACTTTCTAATTGAGTGATACATATACCTGGTAAGAGTGGGCTCATTGGGAACCCATGGCCACTCGGTCTATTTCATGGTAAAATGTTTCATCAAATGGAAGTTGAAAGTTGAATGTGCATCTCAGCAGTAACTCCTTCAGATTCTTCGTTGGTAGTCCCGGTAGGTGTTCACTGTCAATGTAGCAAAAAAGGAAGTCGATCCTTCCCAACAGTGGTACATTCGTGAACAAGGGCGGAGAAAAGAAAGCCCACGGAAGAAAGGAAGCGCAGGTCTTGGTCATCAAGTGAACACAGATCAACATATAAGACCGGAATCTACTTTCAGCGTAATCTTTCGACTGTCACCAACAGCACTCAAACATTTCGGTCTACTTAAACGTGTATTCGGTCGTTTTGAACCATCGTTATTTTCACGTCTGTTGTCCGCATACATCAGGCCGCATATTTAGTATGCCATCCAAACGTGGAACACGTGGTTACAACGTGCTCATAAGATTTTGGAACGTCCACAAACGCTCGCCACGAAGACGGTCAAAGGACTCTAGCATGCTTCATACATGAAAAGAATGCAGTCGTTGGGTCTATACTCTGCTCAGTATCGTCGGATTCGAGGAGAATTGATTTTAGTGTACCCAGTATTACACAATCCAAACTACCTTTGTCACCGACTTCTGACGTTGTTTGAAACGTTCATCTACGGGGATGTCCATTCAAGTTAGTACTTCAAAAATCTCGACTGGACTGCCGACGTCATGCGTTCACCGTCACAGTGTGCACTGCCTGGAATTCCCTACCATCTCATGTTGTATGCCGAGAGGCTTGATTCTTTTAAGGTAAAACTTGACGAATCACTAACACACATTG